CAAAAATACTGGAGCCTGACTAGATGGCACATAACAACAGATAGCAGTGCTGCATAATCCATCAAAGACATCATTTGTTGATTCATTTTTAGACATCAGTGTAGGCCAAACATTATTGCAAGTATTTGCTAACATTTGCAAGCATTATCACATGGATAAATGCCATCATAAAGACTGATATAATTCCCAGTATTTTATATTACTGGATCTCTGGCTAGCCTGAATTTAATAAAAAGTTTATATTTTTATTCATAAAAATATACAATTTCATTATTATGTGTCTACAGCACTGATGTTAGATGTGTAAGTGTATATGTGGAATGGCAGAGAAAATGCATCTCGTAGCAACATGCTCAAAGCATGTGAGATGAAGCTTTATCATGTTTGCCTCCAAGGAACACTCTGGCTTTACCTTCTCCAAGACATATCTTTTTGTCTTTTGACAGTCCATAGGATATTCAGTACTCTTCTCCAACACGATACCTCAAAGGTATCAGTTCTTCTTCTGTCATCCTTATTTATTGTCCAACTCTCAAACCCATATCAAATTACTGAAAAGATCATGGCCTGAATCAGGTATACCTCACTCCTCAAACTAACATCATTGCTCCTAAATAATTTGGAAAAGTCCCTGCCTACAGACTTTGCCAGTACACTAAGTCTCCTGATCTCCTGACTGCTGATACTGGATGTGTTAATTGTGTATCCAAGTAAGATTAAGTCATTGGCAGTTTCTATCTTTTTTTCCATCTATTATTGCCTTTTGGTAGAGTGGTGAAATTTTTTGTGTTAAGGTTGAGATGCATTCCATATTGATAATGATATTCTTTGATTTCCTGCAGCAAGCACTTGTAAGTCCTCCTTACTTTGAGAAAGCAAGGGTGTGACATCTGTATAGTGCAGGTTACTAATGAATCTTCCTCTGATCCTGATGCCACATTCTTATTCATAGAGCCCAGCTTTTTATGACTTTATTAAAACTGCATAAAATTAGTTTTTTTAAAATGACAGTTACTTAAATAGAATAATTTGAGTAATTTTCCATACCTCCAGTTATAAAATAGACAAGAAATAACTTTTTACTTATAGTTTATATATAAATGTGTGTTTGTATATATGTCATTTTCTTTCCTTCATATTGCACATTGAGTGTTTCAAACAAATAAAAAATACTGGCACGCAACATAAACTCAATATAAGAATTCATGGACAATTTCATTCACTTTTGCAGTTTCTTTACAGACCATGCATCACATTAGCAATTTGCATTAAAAGCAAATGGCTTCCTATAGTGAGGAAAAGAGATTTAAGGTATTTAACTAGATAACTGAGAAGAAGGCTTTATAATTTTAGTATTAATATATTGTGATTTTCATGAATAAATGCATAAATAAATGATAAATGGGTAGATGAGTTAAAATTGTTCAAGTTTAAAATTTAATGGCATATTTTAGTTTATTTCCTATATCATCCAAGGTTTCTGAATCCTTTAAACACTTCAGTTTTCAATAGTTTTAATGTTGTTATTTATGGACCTTGCAGTTTCTAAATAGTTGCCAATTATTTTATTTATTACTTAAAATGAAAATATATGTAGTAGTTATGAATTGCAGCTGATAGACTATGAGTGCAAGAAATACAGCATTTTTTGTATTCCTTAAATTGACTATTTTTACTCCAAGATTGCTGTTGCTGTTAGGTCAGAACCAATCCATAGCTGACTCTCCAGAGGGGTTTTAGAGGCAGTTAATTGAGAGGAGATTGCCTATCCTTCTCCTGTGGATCAGCTGGTGGATTTGAACTGTGTGTCTTTGGGATTGTGTGCAGTTTCCTAGTGTTGTGTCATTTGAATACAGAATTAAATGTTATAAAAACTAAAAAGCAAAATAGAAAAGAACAAGAAAAGGGAAAAATAAATCATAGCCTCCAAGGAGAAACCTGTTTAACCCTCTCCAAGACAGATCTGTTTTCTTGGCAGCCTATGGTATGTATATATGTTCAAGATTCTTCTCCAGCACCACGACTTGAAGCCATCGATTTTTCTTCCGTCGTCCTTAGTCATTGTCCCACTCTCTTAAGCATAATAAGTAATTGAGAAGACCATGGCCTGGATTAGGCACACCTTAGTCTATAGACTGACATTGTTGCTTTTCAGTACTCTGGAGAGGGCCTTGACAGCAGATATTCCCAATGCAATTAATCTTTTGATTTCCTGACTGCTGGTGCTAAGACTGTTGATTGTGGAGCTGAGAAAACTGTAATTGTCAACAACCTCAATTTCTTCTCCATCTATCGTGGTCTTGCCAATTTTTCCAGTGTCGAGAATCTTTGTCTTCTTGATGTTGAACTTTAAATCCATATTGCAGACTACAGTCCTTGACCTTCTCCAGCAAATGCTTTGGGTGTTTTTCGATTTCAGCAAAGTTGTGTCATCTACATAACATAGATTGTTGATGAGTCTTCCCCCAATCCTGATGTCCCATTCCTCCTCATAAAGCCCTGTCTCCCGAGTGATCTGTACTGCATACAGATTGAAAAGGTATGGAGACAGGTTGCATCCCTTACATACTTTTTTCCTGATTTTGAGCCATGCAGTGTTTTCCTGTTCTGTTCTGAGGACTGCTTCCTGGTCCAAGTATAAGCACAATCAAATATTCTGGGATTCCCATTTTCTTCAAAGTTAGAAACAATTTATTGTGATCCACACTGTCAAATGCCTTTGCAAGGTCAATGAAACACAGAAGGACATTAGTCTGATAGTTTTTGCTTTCTGCCAAGATCTAGCTGACAATTGACAGTAATGTCTCTAGTGCCATGACCTCTTCTAAACCTAGCTCATATTTCTGGCACTTCTCTGTCAATGTACTGTTCCAGTTGTTTCTGGATGATCTTCAGCAGAATTTTGCTGGTGTATGATATTAGTGATATTGTTTGATAATTTCCACCCTCTTCTGAGCCACCTTTTTTGGAATGTGGAATAATTATGGATCTCTTTCTTTCAGTTGACCAGGTAGTTGTTCTCCAGATTTCTTAGCACAAGCTGGTGAGCACATCCAGGGCAGCATCTGTTTGTTGAAATACTTTAATTGGTATTCCATCAATTCCTGGGACTTTATGTTTTGCAAAGACCTTCAGAGCAGCCTTCACTTCCTCCTTCATCACCATTGTTTCTTGATCATATGCCTCCCAGTGGCATCCTTGTATATAGTGCAGCACAGTTATTGGTTTAAAAATACCATTTACTCTTCATCTACTAACTACAGATTGTTAATATTAAATCTTTTTTTAATTTATGTATTACCTCCTTGTGTACTGTCGAGTCAGATCTGACTGACACAGGAGGAGATTGCTCCCCCTTCTGGAATGCCCCACCTTCTCCAACAGCGCATCTGGTGGATTAGAACCACCCACCTTTGGGTGGTATTAAATCTTAAGACAAAAAGGACATTGACTTTGCAGCAGTAGCAATAGATTCCAACATGGTGTGCTTGTAGTTCATTTTGTGCAAGATGTTTTCACTGTGCTGTCATATCCAGCCCTTTATTCTTGTCTACTCTTCCCTGTACCTATTCATCTCTAGTCTGGTTTAGCTAAGAAGAAGCATAGGCAGATGGTTCGAGTAGAGTGCAAGAGGAGCAGATGATCTCTGAATAATTTCATTTCTTATCAAAGACCATCAATTCACCAATTTTCCATTAATCACCACATTCCTACTGCTGTTCTTTCAGGGACCCTCTTTCTTTTTTTTTAAAATTAATTTTAATGAAAGTTTACAGACACTTAGGATTTCCATTCATTCATTATTGTACTTTTCTCCCTGCCCACTCTCTCCTCCCCAATTTGCACTTCTATTTGAAAAGTATAAGGAAAATTTTTTCATTGTAATAC